AATCGGCGTCGAGAAAAGGGATCGGAGTTTCACTATCAGAGTCCTCCTCCTCTAAAGGAGCACGGTAAGATGGAGACGTGGTTGCGTTTGCTAGTCCAGGGATCACAGTCGGGATCGACAGAGTTTTTAGTAAGTAAGATAAGGTTCTGGTGGATTCGGTTTCAGCGTATGCAGATTAGTTAATAAGGTTTTCGATTTCGAATAGTTTCTTGGGTCTTTTCAACTTTGAATTTCTGAGATCTAGATAAGGTTTTCTAATGAGGTCGAGATTCGCTAGTATTCTGAATCTTGAGGTTCGGTTTTCTTTCGATTTAAGTCAATTCTACTTGTTTCTTCTTGGTGATCTATCTATAGTCCTTGAGTCTCGTCTATAGATCCGACAATATGTTATGGACAGACTTGGGGGTTTTCGGTGACGAGGGTCAAGGGAGTTCTGGTGAGGATTTGTATCTATTACCAGTCTTCCTATGTGGATTGTCGGATGAGGGAAAATCTGTACAGGCAATGTATCTACAACTATAAGATGGTTCTCGAGCTTGTGACATGTAATGTGAATATGTCACTCAAGTGAAATAGAACCAGTTCATAACACATCCGCTCAGGTTCCTTCAGCTACGGTGGCGTCTGCCCAAAGGGGCAAGAGGGGGGGGAGAGCTAGGCGAAACAACTTTCGCCTTTCTTACTCTAACCAGGAAGGGCAACCTTCTTCTACCTGGAGCAACCCCCAGACGGCTCAACCCATCTTTCAGCACAATCGTTTTGTGCACCAACCGGCCAATTCAGGAAACCCTCAGGCGACATCATTAGAAGCTTTGGCTTCTGGCTCTGCTGGGAGTGCAGCTCAGGTTAGCAATAATTATAAGGGGAAGAAACCCTGGAGACCGGCCGGGGAAAGCGTGAAGGAGGCTGCCCTGACCCCACCCAGGTAAGGGTCACTTTAGCTCCCAATGTAGGGCCGGAAACCTCGATTCCATTCCAGGCTTCTTCACATTTGTTGGAACATTTGATGATCCTGCATCGCGTTTTGCGAGTGCTCCAATGTTTCCAGTTTTCATCCTCTCTTGACGTAGATTGATATGATTTCTGATTCACTATTTTTTAAAAAAAAATAATATATATATATATATATCTTTCTCTTTAGTACCACACCTTATTGAAGTGATCTTGTACAGGCTTCCGAGCCACCGGTAGATACAATTGTAAACCAGTAAGGTGTTGTTCATGTGTCCTTTTTCATTTGATTCCTTTTGTATCAAGTCCTGTTATGTGATTTTGATGAGGTGGACCTTTTTTCCTTTTTTCTTGCAATTTATTGTCGTTCGCTCTACATTCACGTGGGTTGATAGCTGCACAGGGCGGAAGACCGCGAAACAACGAGTACTTCACGACTCGGTGTTGGTAGACGAGTTTCTAAGGAGTGACGACGAGTGTCTAAACGACTTGGACTCAGATCAGGAAAAAATGACTCAGGATTTGGGGGATAAAAAGAAGAAGAAAGCACCCCTGCCGTTGTGGGAGAGAATCCTTTACATTTACGAAGTGCCAAATCCATGGCCTGTGAAAGTATCCAGCTTGATGAATGTTAGACAATGGGATTGACTTATGAGAGAGGCCGGTCTGGTCGGAGAGATTCCTTATATTACAGATGGTTTCTTGAAAGGCTTTTGCCTTGGAATCCCTCAACACGACCTTGGAGATCTACTCTGGTATACACCAGACAATCATCGGTCGGCTCTAGATGCTCAGGCGGAGATTGAACGTACAATAGCAAGCGAAGCTAAAGCAGGTCGCCTGATGGGTCCGTACTCGCACGAAGAAGTACACCATCGCTATGGATTCTTCCGGTCTAACCCGATGGGTAGTGCGGTAAACGGGGATGGCTCTCTGTGATTGATTAATGACCTCTCTTTTCCTAAGAACAATCCGTTTATCCCTTCTGTGAATTCATTTGTGGACAAGAGGAACTTTGATACTCACTGGGACGATTTTGATACAGTGGCAAGTTTTCTCAGCAAAAACCCAGGTGATTGGGAGTTGGCGATCTTTGACTGGAGGAAAGCTTATTGACAACTACTGGTTCACCCGTGCCAAAGGAGATTCTTGTGTATAAAGGATTTCCGGGGAAGAATATGGATTGACCTCGCTGTAGGCTTTGGAGGGGTCGCAAGTTGTGGAGTATTCGGCGCACCAGCCCATGTTTGGAAAGAAATAATTGAAAGACTGCTGAAGATCTGGAAAATCTTTAGGTGGGTAGACGATAACTTGCTTCTAAGAAGGCCCGGAGATAAGTCGTCTTTGGAAGATGTAACAAGTTTGAGCAACAGTCTGGGAGTCCTAACTAATCCGGTTAAGAATTTTGAGTTCGCGACGGAACAGCGATACGTCGGATTCATTTGGAATGGGGTGGATCACACCATAAGGCTTCCCGAGGATAAGCTTAAAGAAAGAAGGCAACAGATAATTGACTTCTTGAAAAAAGATTCCATGTGGTCCTTTAAAACTGTCGAAAGTTTCGTTGGTAGGCTTATTCACACGACCTACATTGTCCCTCATATGAAGTGCTATACACGTTCATTCTACAAGTGGATGAAAACATGGGTCAACAAATCAGCATTGAGACCGGCCCCAGACTACGTTCGGGCAGATCTCTTGGAATGGACAATCTGTCTAAGAAATTTCAACTCGAGGCCTCTGGTACCTTCTAAAAAACCCGTTGACGTTTCGTGGGTTGGAGATGCCTCGAACTCGGGTATTGGCGTCCTAATTGGAGACCACTGGGCGGCGTTTAAACTGGTTGAAGACTGGAGGACCCTTGGCTTAGTGGATTCTAAGAGGCCCATCGCCTGGGCCGAAACGGTCACGATCCGCCTTGGCCTCCTGGTGTTGTCGAAAGTGAAACACGTTGCAGGTGAGCCCCTAGGACCCGCAGCTTGAGTTTGAGGCGGAAACCTCTGCAACCAGTCTGATCAGATTTGGTTTTTTTGCAGGAAAACGGTTCGTTGTATTAACGGACAACACTACCTCTCAATCGGCGGTTAAGAAACGGAAGTCTCGGGACGATACTGTTAATACAGAGTGGAAATATATACAAAAGCTTCTGACCCTTTTATCCTGCGACATTGTGGCACACAGGGTGACTTCTAAAGGGAATCTGGCAGATGATCTGTCGCGAGGAATTTTTGGATCATTGAGCTGGAGTCACGAAGTACAAATAGTCGTCCCAGACGACCTGGTACCTTTTCTTACGCAAGTCTCATTGCCGCCAACTTCCGCGTCAATATGACGATCCCTCCTTATCGCATCTCAGGCTATTCCAACCTTTCTCAAATGATCTCCCCTCCCACTCTTGACAAGTCCAAACCGGTCCAGTTCAAAGACTTTCGATCTGACGCGTACGGTTTCGACTATGTCGACTCGAATCCACTACAACTACATCTGCTGAATGGGGCTTGGGAACATAGTACACTTAAGTCCTACAACTCAGGAATTGTGAAGCTTAAACGGTTCGCAGATGTAATTGGTATCGACCACACTTTACTTCTACCGATACCTTCCAAAATCATATGTGAATTTGTAGTATGGGCGTCCGTCAAAGGTGAAAGGTGGATAGCTCAAGACGAATCTGTTAAAACTCCTACCCTCAAATCATACCTGGCGGGCATTAAGGCCTGGCACCTGTTTCATGGAACCTTCTTCCCGAGTGATGTCGAACCTGTTATCAAAGCGGTCCTTAAAGCATCACGAAAATTAGAAGCCAAGTTCGATGAACTCGATAAAAAACGTCCTCCTGTTCTCATATCTGACCTTCTCGCTCTGCACGGAAATCTCGCGGGTCGTGGAGAGGAAGAACTCTCTTTGCTCTCAGTTGCTCTTTCAGCCTTTTGGGGTTCTGCTCGACTTGGAGAGCTAGTCTCAGACGATTCACGGAAGTCGGTTCCGCGTTGGCAGGATTTAGAATGGGCACCAGATGGCTCGGATGTAGTCATTAATCTGCACGAGGCAAAAACGGCCAAACCGGGTGAAATCCAGCAAATTCACTTGGAGCGACAGGATTCCATACTGGACCCGGTCTCTTGTCTCAAGGCGCTTTATGACTTTCGCCCACGGAAGCCAACAGACTTCGTATTTAGCTACTTATCTGATGGGAAGAAGTCAAAGGTGTCTAAAGCTACCGCAATCAACAAGTTTAAAAAGATCTGGAACTCTACCCGTCCCAAATCCAAGCAGCTCTTACACGGCCACTCCTTTCGGATTGGAGGCGCTTCTCTTCGATGGAATTTAGGATGTTCCAGGGAGGAGGTTAAAAGGAGCGGAAGGTGGGCTTCTGATGCCTATAGGATCTACCTGCGGAAGTTTTCGACTAAAGACCTCCGGAAAACTAAGGCCCTTCTGCGCTCAATCCGGAAATGATTCCGGCCTTTTTGTGGCTACCTTTTTCTTGTTGACATCTGCTAAGACTCAGGTAAAAAAAAAAAAAAAAAAAATGAAATGATCGAGTTTCTTTTGGGTTTAACTTGGAAGTTTGTAGTCTTGCGACGTTATCGCGGAGACTCGAGAGATGGGGCTTCCCTAGGCTCACGGCTCTCCCCCCCGCGAGTTTTTGGGGAGAGAAGCCCATCTCTACGTATTTCCTTGTTCTCGCCTATTGAGACCAGTAGTGGAGGGAGAATCATCCGTTCTCCTCCTCTTCTACCCTCAATAGGCCACCCCCACACCACCTGTAGTAGTCTGCATTAGTACTCTTGTAGTATTCTTTCTTTCTATTCCTAGTGGTTACAAAGATACTTGGAGTTGAGTTTTTCTCATTTACAACTATCTCCTTTGTGTGACCACCGGTACCTACGTACCGCGAAGATGGGACTTAAACCCATCTTCCTGACCCAATGAGAGCCCCGCCCAGACCTAGATAATTGGATTAAATCTCAGTTCACTTCTTCATTCGATATCACTTCACTCACTTCACTCATATCGACAAAGAAGCTTTTCAACTTCACTGGATTATGTCACGAACCCGCGATTTGAGTCAACTTAAACAACCTACTGCGATCCCCTTCCCCAGCTCACAGCCTGGCTCGACTGCTCTACTTTCCGAACCTGAGAGGACCCCCAATTTCCCACCACGTGCGCCTCGATCTGCTCGCCCTTCCAATTCGCCTGTCGAACGACCTCTTCGACCTCAAGCTTCTCATGATACAATCGGAGCTTACACCCCTTCGAGACCTCAACGAAACGCTGCAAGGCATCCTGGCATTGTGGTTAGCAATGATCCCTCGGAGGCTTATCGTGGCACTACACCAGAATACCCTTCCCAGTCTCGTTCGGGTTCTAGCTCCAACCCAGACCGTTACGCAAAATCTCGAGGCACTTCAGATCATGGCCCACGTCAAGTCGTACCACCACGAGGTGAAGTTTCAGCCGGGCCCCGAGATCGACTTGGGAATACCAACAAGCTGTATCAGGCGGTGAGTGGACGACGAAACGAGCAGGGTGATGGAATTTATCCCGATCCATCTCAAGTTGATCAAAATGCGAATGGTTACTTGAATGAGGATTACCGATCTCGGCGCGATCAATCTGAAGCATACGGTGACCGAGATCCCAGTCCTGACCGCAGGATATCTCGAACTTCGTCAGACGGATCTTATGATCCAGTTGATCTTTTGACTGAAAATGACTTGAAAGGTGTAAGGCAGAATCATGGGGCTCGAGCGGTCGCGAAGGTGTTTCAAGATTCTGTGATCAGACCAGAAAATACCAGGCGACAACCCCAAAGGCTTCCATCTAGCTCCAACGGCGATCCAGGACGGTCGAGAAGGCCAGCTGTGGCTGATCAAGGCTTCCAAGCAAAACCCAGCAAGCTAGATGATAGATCATATCCCATGACTCCAGGCTTTCGGGAAATCGAGCAAGTGTTAATGCGTATTAAGACCGCATGGGAAAGGACTGGCATCACAGGAGATGTAGATGATGAAGAGGGTGCTGCTCCGGGCTCGTCAAATCAATTCTCACCGGTGGCTCTGGCACTTGATCTCTTAGAATCAGAAAACGCACATGACCAAAGTCAATCCGCCAAGAGAGCCAAAGACATGATCAACCAGAAAGGCGGTCTTGTACCTTCGTTGTCTTCGTTTCTCAAATTGAAAGCGGAGCTCGAGAAAGCACTTCAATTGACTATTCAGACGAACTATCGCCAGTTTGACGCATCCGTGAATGCATACAACTTGGCTAGGATGAATGTCGAGCATAGCACTAAGAGAGTACTTGAACTTAAGACTAGATTAACAGAGTGCCGAAATACTTTGGGATGTGGCCGAAGTAGCAGCTTAACTAATTCGACTGTGGGAGGAAAAGGAAGTGAAATGAAAGCTTTACAGGGTAGACGGGAGATGCTAGGAGAGATGCTGAAATTGATTGACATGATGTATGCACCCTCCTACGCTTTTTCATCACATTTCGTTCGCATTTCGTACCATCTGAAACTTGTGTCCTGCTGTCTGATTACTTTATGAACACTCCTCTTTTTCTAATAACCACAAAATCTAGAGATCAGCTAAAGCAAGTACCCGAGAAACTTGAGACATTGATATCATCTAAGAACTTCTTATCAGCCACAGTTCTACTGGTTAGGTCTTTGAAACTCATCAACAAGCCTGAACTGGTAGAGATTGGCGGTCTGGTGGACTTGAGGTCTTACCTTGTGAATCAAGAGACTACATTATTTGAGATACTGATCGAAGAACATCATAATCATCTATATCTCAAGAGTTACTTTTGTGATAACAGGTGGCGAGTGTACCGCAAGGGTCAATCCCACTGTAAGAAGCTTTTCTTTTTGTGTTTGTGAATACTCTTGCTTTACCAAAGCTTAGGCTGACAAACTTTTGTTTTGACGCAGTACCTGTTATCCAATTTACGGATGGAAGCGCCGCAGACAATGAAAAATTCGACATGAGCATTCAATCCAATTCCAACACACCTGCTGTTTCCCAAGCTGCCTCCTTTCCTCCCAACGATTTTTTGCCATCCAATCAACGACGAACCAGAACGCACGTGACGTCTAGCCTGCAGCATTTCTTGGATGATCTGTTGACTAAGCCTCAGTCCAATCCTCTTCTCGATGAACCGGATATGTTTCTAGAGATGAACCCGACTCCTACCTCACCAACTCTTGGGGACCATGCAACCACTCCTCCTGTCTCTCATCGATTGTTGTCTCATGGTGGTATTGATGGCAAGAAACGCAAGGCACAAAATGTCAATCCTGAAGTCAACTCCTTTGTATATATGGAGAGTCTCATTGAGAGTCTCGCTGTTTTGGGCAAGCTCAGCTTGGGCTTGGATAATACTCTGCAGAGGGCTCCACTCGAGATCTACAACCTAGTAGAGGCGACCATTCACGAGGTTGAAGATCGGTATGAAAGTGTTACTCACATCGGCGGATCGGCACCTAAAGCGTATGGGAATGATGGCAATATCAACACCCTTTCCAGCAACCGGGCAAGTACTCTAGAATTCAAACTCTTGCTAAGCTCTGCTATCCAATCCTTTAACACCAAAAGGATTTCAAGGTTTAAGATCAATATAAATGAAATTAAAGAGCTCGAATCCAATTCTGAAATCTTACAAGATTTCTTCTGGACGTTATTTTCGAAGCTCGATGCTACCTTGCAGTCCTTCCGTGTAACGCACGAAGTAGGGTTAAGAATCAGTCAACGTAAAGGATCAAAGAAGACGGAGTCAAATCTACCAACGTTCTCTTTTCACTACTAGAGATTTGGAAATCGATTCAGAGTGAAGTTCGAGCTCTTTTACATGACTATTTGACCGACTTGGGTGATACAGGCTTTGGTGGTGGTCCGGATGTGTCTCGACATAATCAGGCCAATTCCATGGCAACCGCGACGCGAAGGAATCCCATCGTCTCCATTGCTGAAGTTTTGAGATTCAATATTGGTGGCTCAAGTACGACTGCAACCAATATCGGTGCGATTTGGAAAGATCCAAACAAACAACTATTCAAATTCAAAGATACAGATCTTAAAATGAACAATAAGGACTTGGAACAACACGAATCCAATCTTGATTTTGCTCTCAAGGTCTCTGTTCCTGGTTTAGTCATTGATCAGACCACCATAAACAACAATGTAGGAGGTGGGATCCTTCTAACAACTGGTTTGTTAAATGAAGAGGCTGGAAGTAATCGAACGGGCGGGAGCCACGGGAATGGAACACATCGCTTGTTGGCTAAGCCTGATGCTTTTCATATCATTCTACTGTTGCAACCAACATTGGAGTTCTTGATTCGAGCGAAAGACGTTCTACCAAATGGAGTTGTTGTCAGTACCAGTGAAGATCATAGGTTGGTTGACACCAACGACAGAACCGAACCAGGTGGAAATGATGACACCGAGGACTTGACAGGCGAAAATGTCAACGCACATGAAAGCATAAGTCTCCTGCATTTCGACGGGTTCAATGGATTTCTGGATGAATTTGTGTTGCACACGTTCTTACCACAATTGGAACAAAAGGTTGCCAGGGCTTTTGAGCAAGCTATCAATGGTAAGTCAGATCGTGACTCCTATCATTGAGTGCTCGTTCTTGAACTGAAAATTCAATTCATCGATTGATCTTTAGCACCTGATGGATTTCAAGAAGACGTACAAGGCTCAGCAGGCTCAAATACTTTTGAGCGTGGTAGCGTCAATCTCAAAAGGAAGTCGATATGGCAATTACCGGTGGCTAAGGTCAGCCTCAAGTCTAGAGACGCGTGCTTTTCTGCATTCTTGTGGCAATTCTGATCGACAACCTGTATTGTGGACTTGTTTCAGTCGATGATCACTTCAATGAAGCTGATAGAGAGCTTGTGTGATATGCTACATAGCATGCCATTCCATCGCGAGAAACATGGACGGCTAATAGTGAGCATTGTAGTGCAATACTATCAAAAATGTCATGAACGATTCAAAGGTATGCTTTTATGGTTCCAAACAGTCACAAGTATCAAATTGTGTATCTAATGTATGGGCTACTTTGCTTACTTTGAAGAGCTTGTCAGTCGTGAAGCGTCTGAGACAACAACGAACATTGGTGAATCAGATCCTCATGCAAATCTCAAATTGGCGGCGGATTGGGCACAAAGACCAGAATTAAGTCGAACTCTGCAGGGCCTTCACGACTCTCTGGTAGGTTTGAACCAAGAATGATGTTAGAAGCCAAGGCATTTCGATCACTGACCCTGTGCCTCTGATTTGATGGTCTAGTCGGGTGACACGGATCTCAAGAAGATGAGGAAAAATCAATTCCAGGTCGAAGCAAAATTTCTTGAAGATCACGAGATCTCTCCAGTTGATTTGATTCGGTCCCCCAAAAAGATCACTGCCCTATGTAATCTTCATAGCAGTCTGGTGAGTCTAGCAATCCAGGCGCTATCAGGAAAGAAAGCGCTTATTTATCCTGTTTCGATTATTGCTTGATCAAATCAGGATTGTTTTGTAACTTTCACGCGCACGCTGAGCTCTTCGATACAAATTGTCGCGAGTCCTGAAGGAGAAGATCCTGGAGAGGATTCTTCGCTGGAGCCACCGCCACCCGACACCGATGTCAAACAACGTAAACATGGTTTTCGGTTGCCGCTGGCGCGTGGAATCATGAAGTTTGTCTGAATCATAAACCTCTTATGAATGAATTGATGTGGGCCATGCTGATCATTACAAAATCAATGATGTGGTCAGACGTTTCCAAATCGCCCAGAACTCATATCAATCACTTGCTCAAACAATCCTATTCACCTTACACCTTGAATTACGGTTACAAGCCTATCATTTCCTCGGCAAGACTTCACAAGAAGGACAATACTTTTTAACACCATCTGATTCTACTGAACCAGACCCTAACATCATCGAACTGAATTCAATCTTATCAAGCTCAGAAGCAGCTCTGACTTCAGCTCTTTCTAAACCTCAACGGAATTTTGTTTTATTAGGATTCGGACCACTTTTAAATCGATTATTGATCAATACTGTCTTGAGATTAAAGATTGGAAATGAACATGGGTTTCGTAAGATGCATAAGAACGTTTTGGCTTTACAACAGAATATGAAAACGTTAAAGAGTGAAGATGAACATCAAATTCAACAAATTGGTGAAAGTCAAATTGGAAAATCGGAAAAAGCAATGAATGTGAATTTTGAAAGAAGTCGAAAATTTTGGGAAATGGCATCAAAAGGACCTGATGTAAGTTAACCAAAAAGAAATCATCTATTATGATTTAATTAAAAAATGAATGAAAAAAAAATCCTAAGACTCATTTTTTTCTTTTCTTTGATTGATTTTAGGCTGTAATGAATTCAGTTCGAAATGGAGCGATTTACAGTTTTGAAGAATATAGAAGATTGTTATGTTTGTTATGTATGATCAATCCAAGTACAACAGGAGAAAATGTGATACCGATTGAAACGAATGGATTATTAGAAGATGAGATTTGGTCATCAACTAAAGATAATCTTAGTCCTGGATTCGAGAAACGAAAACGAATGTATAATGAGTTTTTGATCGAATTACATGCATTGGTTTTAGATGATGATGAAGATGATGATGAAGATGATGATGAAGATGATGAATTGAATTGAATTTAATTTGCTTCGATTTTCTACTCTTCTTTTTTTTCGATGTATCTTTGAAATGCTTAAATTGATCATCATTTTATTTTATTTGTTTTTACTTTTAGAATTTAAGAAAATCACTTAATTTTTCTTTAGGACTTTACTTATTTATGATCCAAAAGCGAAAAAAGATTGAAGTGTATATGAAACTTGTGGGTTTTTGTTGCGATGTTTTTTTTTTGGGTGTTTTTTTTTGTAGAATTTATTTTGTATATCTTAAAAGTTTTTTTTCTTTCTTTCTTTCATGAAATAATTATTTTTTGATCCCAATATATTTTATGAAATAAGAATAATAAAAGAATCAAGGTCATTTAAAATTCATGATGAAAATAGATCTCTTGATAAATTCTTACATTTGATTCAAGAGGTTATTAAACTATGTGATTTTTACAAGGGTTTTCTGGAAATATCTTTTGTCATCCAACTGACAATGAACGTTATCGACATTTTTTCTTCACTCATCTTGTAAAATATCCAAATATTTATGTACACTTTCAAGACGCGTTTCTGAACGCTAGTTTACAGTAAATCTCTTGATGAGCATTTTACGTGGCTCTCACCCGGTTATCATACGCCTGTGACCTGATTTGCTCATGTGAGAAAGGCCTTAGAATGAGATTTTAGAGGTCCAACGGAGGGGAACTTTAAGTGCACATATGTATCGACTGAGTTCAAGATCGTAAAGAACAGTTTCTTGATCGTGCTTGATGGAACTTTTATGTAAAGCGATCGGGAGGTTTAGGCATGAAGGAAAGCTCACACTCGAATCTCAAGACCTCAAACTTTACCATAGCTATGGATGGAAATCATGATCAAGGAAGATTTATTTAGTCAACTCACACCGTGACCTAACCACATTTCATCTCCAAGAATCTTTGGTGTATAGCTTCTCAAAAACAACCACGCTTCCACACCAAGAGGACAAGTTTTTGATTACATATAGCTCCAAAAAATTTTAGGATTACTTTTTTTTCACAAATCAATTTTTTGAAAAAAAAAAGAAGAAAGTTACATAATAATTCAAATTCTTGTAAATACATGTTTTCGTAAGAAAAACAAACAAAACAAACATTTCCCGTGTTGTTTTGAATTATCTGACAATCTGATCTATGATCTTGTAAATAGTAGAGTTGGGTTTCTTTGTTTCTTTTTTATTCCAAATGCTTTTTGTCTTTTCGAGTGGGTTGCTCCTCCTCAAGGCTGCTCATGCTATTTGACCGCAAATTCACCACACGGACGCGTCAGTCTGTGGCCGGGGCGTAAAAAGCCGAACGGAAGAGGATTTTGATGAAATTTGAATGAGAGAAATGACATAGGTTAGATTAGTCTGATTGTTCTGCGATAGCCCAAGAATTATCGAAGGGAGTTAAGTAAAATGAATGAATGAATGAATGAGAATTGAATTGAATTGATAAACTGGAGAAAATGAGTGATTGATTGAATTTGAATATGAAATTCAGATTGAATGGTGATTGAAGTATGGGTTTAAAGAAGTCTGTATGGGTTTTTAGGATGAGCATGGTGTTGATAAGTTGAGGATTGACTGATGAAGCTGAGCTTGATCGATCAAAACAAAGAAAGAAAAGAAAGCAAAGAAAGAAAGAAAAGCAAAGAAAGAACATGATGAGTAACTTTGAATCAAATGATATAGTAGTACCTCCTTCATTCGATCAACCCATTCAATCCAACCACCACAACCCAAACCAACACCATCATCAAAAGAATTCAGTTCAATTTCCAACTCCACCTGATTCAGCAATCTCATTAACTTATTCAAATCAATCTACTTCAATTCCAACTTCAGCTGTCTTAATCGATAAATATCTAACAGCTTATTCAAATCAACTTATCTCAGATTCATCTCATCAAGATCAACAACAAAACACCATTGAATTCCCTTTATCATCTTCTACTACTCTCAAACGAAAAGCCGATGTTCTCTTACCTTCAAGTTCTTCTAAACATCTTACTAATCCTAATATCAATCGTAGGACAGATGAACCGATTCGTGCAATGCATCGTTGGTTAATCAGAACGTATGAATCAGATCAAAGTAGTGTGGTACCTGAAATCGATATTAGAGTCAAATTTAAAGGTTTATGTGATAGATTAGAACGTACAAGAATGATTCATTTGGATCCTGAACCCATGGAATTAGTTAAAGAAGTCTTTCCTGGAGTAGCTCAAGAAATTAGAGTCATGCAAGGTTCGATTAGATCAAATGAAGAACATGTGATACGTGGACTTAGGTACAGAAGGAGGGTAGATTCAGATTGTCTTGGTACGTGTTTTGTTTGATAAGCTTTGATCCATCCAAAAAAAACAAAACACACACATCATCATCATCATCTTGACTTTCACTTTTTTTTTTCTCGAATCTCAATAGCTCAATTAGATTTAAGAAGTTCGATTCCACTCGAATTACATTCAAGTCAATTAATCGAAGCCTTACGTGAAAGAGTTAATGAATTAGAAGATGAATTAGAATTCGAAACTGAGATTAACAAACGAGCCAGATTGATGAGTTCAAGACGTGAGAGTGATGAGATGATCCGTCAAACCGGTTCTTCTAGTTTTACCATCGATGCTCAAAGTGATCATTCGACGAATGCTACTTCAGTTCATTCCATTGATACTTCTTCTATGTCTTTGGCTGAAAGGATTTGGACTAGACTGAAGATCGAATGTCGGGCTAGTAGTTGAGTTGATTTGATTTCTTTCTCTTTTGAAAAATTGGAGTGTTGAGTATATCAATTTTGGATTTCGATTTCGATTTCGATTAGATGTTCGTTTTGAGGAAGGAAAAAAAGTGGTATGTTAAAGTTTCAGATGGCTTGCTCTTACTGTTGCTTCCAAATCGGATGATCGAGTGCTGATCATCTTCATCTTTTACCCGTTCCTCTACAGACGATCTCATGGTATGACGAAGTACAAGAAGCCGACTTCAATGGTCAGTCAAATCCTTCCTAATTCCTTCACCCAAACCTTCAAACTGATTTCCAAATGTTTTTTTTCCTTTTCAGCCATAGTCCCATTCCAAACCTCCATCAAACCCAATCGAAAACCACATTCCATCAGAATCATCAACTTAACATCCGAACAAATCAATGAAGAACTCTTTTCGTTTAATTCAGGTCTCGGTTTAGTTGGAAATCATTGGACATACTTGAAAAACAAAGGTAAAAACATTTATCTTTTAAAGAAAAACTTTAAGTGTGTTGGTTTGATGGATGTGAAAGCCGAAGAAGGTGTGGTGACTTATTCTTCTCAAACTTCTCAAGCGTTAGTCTTTTTCTTTTTTTTTGAAAAGTTTTATCAATCATTTTTTTTTGCTTTTGGAATGAAAACTTGACGTGGCTTTTTGGTTTTTTTTTTGGTTTTTTTTGTGTAGAACTTTTAATTTTTCGGTTGGATTAACTAATTCGTCTGCAGCTTCATCATGAAGATGATCAAGGAGAAACAAAACTTTTTAAAAAATCTTGATGGAAATCAAAAAAGCCACAAAACCAAACCAAACCAAAAACCAAACCAAAACAAAACAAAACAAAACAAAAAGCCCAGGTTATTTACCTTTTTCAAAGGATTTTGTTGTTTGATGAAAAATCAATAATTTCTTTCAATTCCTTCTCTTTACGTTTTCTTTTCTTTTCGAATTCTTCGTTTTTTTTTTCTCATTCTAATCTACGATGATGTGTGAATCCTTTGTTTTTTTTTGCGCTTCTTATTCACGATTATCATGACTTTCATTTATTTTTTGATTCCTTGATATATTTAGTAAGATCTATGTTTGTGTTTGTGTGGTTTGTGTGTTTTTGTGTTTTTGTTTGGGGTTTTCATTTTTTTTCAAAACTATTTTTGGTTTTTTAGATTGGATTTGGATGAAGAAAAAGAAGTATTGGGACTTGGAGTGAATGTGATTTTCATTTGTTTTCATTCTTTTGAGTGTATTTTTTTGTTTTTTAGTTTTGAGTTTATTTGAGATTAGATTTTCAAGGGGATCAGAAAAAAGGGTGAAAAAGAAGAGTTAAAATGGTAAGAAATGGAAAATGAAATGAAATGGAAGATGTGTTGTGTGTTGTGTGTTGTTTCACTGTGTGTGTGTGAATGGTTTCTTAGGTTAGCTGCTTGACTCAGACTACTGAACTTCTAATACTTTGGTTGTTGATATTTTCTTACAACTTTTAGTAGAGATTTGACTTGATTCTACAAAACCAAAATCTTAAATCTTACTTATTTTTTTTGTGATTTGAAAATTGATAACTAGGAAGTGTATTGGATATATCTATCTATGTCTCTTTTGTGAGGGGTTTGAAATTTGGATTTCTTTTAGTTTTGTTTGGTTTTACAGATGTTTTGAAAATATATGTTACTCTTGTTGGTTTCACAAAAAAAAATCATGTCTATTGGTCAATTGATATTTTGTACCTCTGGATCATTTATTCCGGGTTGAGATTAGAAATGGAGCTCATGCAGGTGCCCACTCATGAAACACTGGCATCAAGGGTTGAAGCTCTGGTGACTTTGGGTAAGCTATGTACATAATGATCAACCTCTGGCTACTTTCTTGTTCATTTCTGTGATGTTTATACCGGATGAAAACCAATGGATATGAAAAATATTTGAAAAGAACATCAGCCAGATTTGTTTTTTCAAAACAGATATACTAAAGGGGTTTTTTGGTTTATGAGTTTTTTTCTAAAGTAATAGTGCAGTGAGGTCTATGAGTGTTTTTGTCCTCGAGCATCTTCTCTATACCAACCCCAAACCTCTTAGAAAATGAAGACCTGCACCCTTTCTCCCACCCGAAAGGCTTCCATCGTTTACATGCACCAAATTGGCATTCCTGGCACTCAAATTGCTAAAAAACTAGGCCATCCCAAGTCTACTGTCTACACGGTCATCTACAATGACCGTAAAAAACGCGTATCAACGACCTCAAAAACACTCGGAAGACCGAAGAAATTCTCAGAACGTGATCAGCGAACTTTGAAGCGAATTTTAAAAAAAAACCGACACGCTTCAGCTGCCTGGATCGCTAGCAAACTACCAATTAAAGCAAGTCTTCAAACGATCCGATCAGAAATTCGAAGACTTGGGTTTAACTCTTGAGTGGCAGTAGTCAAGCCTTATCTCAAGAGCCAACACATTCTAAGGCGTCTTCAGTTTGCTAAACAGTACAAAGATTGGACTTACAATGATTGGAAAAAGGTCATATGG